TGTGCGTGTGTGTCTTGTGGGAAAGGTGCGAGTATGGGGGGGGGTCGTAAATAATATATCGTCGCTTTCACCGAGTCGCTTCTGAAACGAGACCTTTTCGAGTCGCTGTGTGTATTTCGGCGTTTTCTCTTGTCGTTGCACAGCGGTGGGTTCCCGTGGCATTTATCCGTTACAATGTTACAAGCGGTTGCCCGCCGTTATATATTTCAGCAGCGCTCGGTTTTTGCCGGACTGATGTTTGCGCTGTTTCAGTCTCTAAGATTACGCAATGTGCTCCCACGAATGCCAACAACAGCCCCAGCAATCGCACGGAGTACGTGTCCGCGCTAATACAATATTTTGATATTATGTAATGACTTACATTGGTCGGTATCGACGGGTGTCTATCTTTGATATGGGATTTTGTCTATTGTTGGATTGTTGGATTGCTGGGTGATACCTCGTTGTTCATATCACATACAGTAATTGAAGTCAGTATGAGATAGAATTTTCATCGATATGATATCGATTGTAAGCAGTCAATACACAGTGAACATCGTCACGGCGTGGCTGTCCCTAAAACCTACGTTAATATTACAGTTTATATATTATAAGCTACCCACTGTTTAAGCATCCGCCTGAGCACAGATACATGGTGTAGGGTCATAGCACCGATCCCATATCCGCACGCCGATTGCAAAGGCTTATATATATAGTGACATTGCTGTGCCAGCTCATACATTCACGCTATCGATGTGACATTGCTATATTATGTTGCCGTCTGCTGTATGTATAGTACAGTCCTGCAAGCGTTACGTATGTCAGTGATGAGAATGTGAATAAAATTCTGAGTATTGGATAAGATTGAGGATGCGTGTACAGCCAGCAATCACTATATGCAGCATGCTTCCAATGCCGTACGTTGTACGTATACTTTCGTATGCCGATTCCTCATGCTTATATTCTCTATTCTCGGCTTCTAATCAGCTCTATTCGTAGAAAATTCGAGTGTGGGTATACTGCCATCGCGTAGTAAAATGATATTTAATAGTTCCTACGATAGACGGATACTCTGAAGCAATATTTTATATGTATAACTTTTACCTCATTTGGTTTTACGATCTACCGATTTGATTTGAGAGCTACACAACGCGTATTGTAGCAGTATATTTTCACCTCTTATTATTCCTCCTGCAGCAAGACAGACACTGCCGAGAGTAGAGCATAGTAGAACATAGAGCGTGAGTTGACTTACTCAGAGTGTCCAGTATACGCAGGAGCATATTCCGCCATGAGTCATTAGAAGCCAAGAGCAGACAAGTTGTGAGTGGTACAGCAGCTGCGCATGGGTGGATGCGGAGTATCAGAGAGCGGAGCGTTTACATCCTCGGGCCTCGACGAGGAATGCCGCTGTTCCGTTCTATGCGCACTACCCCGAGTGTAGCTCTAGCGGAACTCGCTCGCTGCGTAATGTGAGCATGCCTAACAGGCGGCTTTTCTCGGCGTATATTCGTTAGCGGTAAATGCACAATGTCTTCTCGGAAAAGGCAGTGTTGTTCTTTCGAAATGTTGTTGACATCGTCGTCCGTACTGATAAATGAAAATTAATTTTTAATGCCATTTTGATGAACAGATAGGAGGCGTGCAGCAAATCAGGCCGTGCGTATTTCACGATCTCTTTGCTGATATTTTTTAGTGACGTTTACGGTCAGTTAAAATTAACGTATGTTGGAGATGCGAGGAGTGTATGTATACATTTGAGCGTGACAAACCATAACGCAGTAGGGATGTTGCAGTTATTCACGCTCTCTGTCTTTTATAGTATGCAGTCATTAATGAAATACTATTTTGCCAATGTTGCCGGGTACAATTGATTACTGCGTCCACTTACAAAATCAAAAGTCATCAATAAAAAAAACATTTTTGTAGGAAAAATGAAAATTAATTTTTAATACCATTTAATTTCAAGCGTTATAGATTATGGGTTTTGCTGGCGCGTGGCGTGGTGCGTGTCGTGTGTGTGTGTGTTGTTGTGTGTGTGTGGCTGCGTGGCGTGTGCATGCGTGCGTGTGTGTGTGTGTGCGTGGCGTGTGTGTGTGTTGCGTGCGTGCGAGTTGTGTGGTGTGTGTGTGCGTGCGTGCGTTTGTGTGTGTGTGTGTGTTTGTGTGTGTGTGTGTGTGTGGTGTGTGTTTGTGGTGTGTTGTGTGTGTGTGTGTGTGTGTGCGTGAGTCGCGTGCCGTGCGTGTGTGTGTGCGTGAGTGCGTGCGTCGTGCGTATGCTCGTTAATTGCACACCAACTACCATTGATAATACTGGGCGCTAATTAATTTAATTCCTAACCGCTAGCGAGTAACAAAAAGAGATATATTTACATGTGTGCCTATTTATTTTCAGCAATTACGTGGAGCAGCTTTACGAATATTCGCACTGTTTTTAGAAGCTCTGCCCACTGTCTGCGTTGTTCGCACAGGCTAAAGCGCGCCACTGCTCTTTTGTCTGAGGTGTAATAAGCGAGACCCGTGGGCTCGGGGAGTGTGCAGGTATGAATGGGATCTGCATGGCGTGTGATGTCGCACACATTCTTGTTGATGTGTTGGTTGCTTGCGTGCTGCAGCTGCTGCTACATAAACGCGTTACAAAGACGCGGTCCACAGGCTACACGCCATAGTCGTGTGTGACAAACACATATTGTGCAGCACAACTACTGCCGAACAGTTACTCTGAACTAGTAGATAGAATCTAGTTGAAGATTAATCTAATATCTATAGAATCTAGTTAAAGACTAATCTAGTTGAAGATCTAGTTATAGAGTCTATGCTAGTTATACGTTATTGAAAGTGGCATGACCATGGCCAATTCTAGTTAGCTGGCTAATCATATTGCATTTCACATACATCACATCTAATGAGCATCAATCATAGGCACATAATATTATGCCATGTCAAGCCGCTCATGTCTTGTCGCATCGTATCGTGTCATATCATATCATATCGTGTCATATCACGCACGTGCGCACACACGTACACACGCACACACACGCACACACACACACGCGCGCATGCACGCATGCACGCAGCGCACGACATGGCACGTACGCACGGTCCCGAGCACGCATGCGCCGCACGCAGCACACACACACAGCCACCACAGCACACACACACAGCACAACACGACCATTTCATAATATATTTATGGGGCGGTAAAAATCAGCTCTGTTTGTACGTCTATCTGTGTGTGTACGGCTGCACGGATGTGCGACGGCGGTGGTGTTAGTCTATAGAAGGCACATGCCGACGATTGAAGCACCAACTTCACAGCCACCACGGTTTACAAGCCAGCGGGGTAAAATAACCCCGCGTTTCTTTCTGCTCTGCGTAGAAAGTTAATTGGAAACCCGAACATGTCGGGCAAGTCAGCTGCTTCTCATGCCGTACAGGAAAAGTATGTCCGCCAGTTAGATATATTTCACCGTCGCCGCCGCCTCTGCTCGCCGCATCAATGCGTCAGTCTACGTGATTACCACCTGTTCGAGTGGGTCAACCGTGTTGTGGAGCTATTTGCCGGGATTTCATACGGCTTCAAAAGAAATACTCGTCCGACTGTTGATGATAGTTGGCATTCTTTTAAGAGCCGCTTGCCACTTCTGGTAATAAGCAGGCTGGAACGTCGCTACGGCTCGGTCATCCCCTTACGTTCGTTGTGAATCAGCGTGTAGTGTGTGTGCGTGTGTGTGTGTGTGTGTGTGTGTGTGTGTGTGTGTGTGTGTTGTGTGTTTGTGTGTGTGTGTGTGTTGTGTGGTGTGTGTGTGTCTGTGGTGTGTGCGCCGCGTGTGTGCGTGGTGCGTGTGCGCTGGCGCGTCGTGGTGTGCGAGTGCGTGCGTGCGTGATGGTGTGCGTAGGCGCGTGCGAGTGCGCTGCTGTGCCGTGTGCGACGCAGGTGCCGTGCGCGTGTGCGTGGCGGCGGTGTGCGTGTGCGTGTGCGTGTGCGTGGTGCGTGTGCGTGCGTGGTGTGTATGTGTGTGTAGTGTGTGTGTGTGTGTGTGTGTGGTGTGTGTGTGTGTGTCTGTGTGCAGTGCGTGTGAAGTGAAGTGTGTGGGGGTGTGGCGTGCGTGTGTGCGTGTGTTGTAAGTGAGTGCGTGGCGTTCGGTGGTGTGTGTGTGTGGTGTGTGTGTGGTGTGTGTGTGTGTGTTGTGTGCTTGTAATGTGTGTGTGTGTGTTGTGTGTTGTGTGTGTGTGTGTGGTGGTGATGTGTTGTGTGTTTGTGTATGTCCACGGATAGGCCAGCGGATGTCGGAAAATGCTATTCGACGACAGATCTTTCGACTGTTAAACTAGCGGCCGCAATCGGAAACAACCGATATGGTTGGCCAAAACATCCGAGTCGTAAAAAAAGCGCGCGCTTAACCGCTCATCATATAATGTCGCACAGGTACCTGCCACGGCTAAACAAAACTTTTACGGCGCAATAGCCGGCTTTCCGGTATATATACGTGCAAAGTTGGCGCTAGAAAATACGAGCACTGGTGGAAATTTTTTTGTCAGGCATAATTCGCAGCCATCGTTTTGAGCAGATGACTACTCTTTCATAACATAACTGCACGAGGATCGAGGCAAGCGACGTGAACGTCCCGACGAACGCGCTTGAGTGTGAAAGCAATTCGTATTGTAAAAAAAAAAGAAAAAAAATGTTGAAACAGGAAAATGACAATATAATCGATCGCCTCTGATCGAGTTGAGCGTCTGAACGAAGACACACATATTCCGATCTAGTATAGTATCAAAAGCCTATAATAACATGTTCTGCGGTATAGAATGCTATTATTTAGCCTTGATAGTATGTTTTTATTTATATGGTCCTGGAGGTGACTTGGCGGTAGTTTTCGTCGGATCCTTGTATTTCCATGCGTGGTTCCCCGTAAGAAACAGCGTCGTTCGCAACATGTTATCCAGCTCGAAGCCTGCTAAAATCTGCAGGATGCTATCGGTGTTGCGAATCAAGTTCGGGCTAAGAAAGTGGCGTTTTCTACGCGTTCAGGCTTGAGCATGCTTATATAATAGCGTGTGCGCACACCCTCGTCCCTCCCACGCACTCTTCTTGCTCAGAGTTTTCGACATAAGGCGCCTGATTAGCTCTGACTGTAGGCAGAACACATAATGTTCATGGAGGACAACCAAGCTGTAAGCATATTTTTTAGCCAAGCTTTGGCGGCTGGTTCGCAACGTAATTTCGGCGCAACTATCGCTAAGCTAACTAGCTTGTCTGCACTGGGCCGCCAAATAATTACTGTCAATAAACCTAACTCAGCATATACATACTTAGTAAGTAAGTTGGTTCTAGAACTCATCAATCGCCTCGTAAAAAAAACCCGTATGTGTACGCTTGAAATTATGTGCAAGTATTTTTTTTACGCAAACGACAGAAGTTCAACTAACTAAAAACCCTAGAAAGGACTTGAGTTAATGACGGGAGGAAGCGTCGTCGCTTAAGAAAATCAACGAAATGGAATCAACAAGAGGCCACGTAAATTGTGCGCTCTGTTCTTATTATAGATGCTGGGTCACTCGCCAGCAATACCATGCGTGTGTATTGCCGCGTTAATTATTTATATATATATATATACCCTGGTAGATTGTGTTCAGAATGTAAGATAGAAAGGCGGCTGGCAGTTTCTTCTAGGATCTGTACAGCTTACCATAGCGTTCGTATATATATTGCTGGTCATGTTACTATTCGATGGCTATGGCGGCATACCCGACAGAGCGGGCAAGCTTCGTGGGCCAAGCGACGACGACGCCTCTTTAATTTTCTATTTTATCAAAATGCATCGTCGGGCCCCGACGCGGTGTAATGTTTATTTGGGCGTGTTTTCTCTACGGCTAGTGGAGAGTGCGCGCCTTATAGCACTATGGAAACATTTATGGCGCGCTGCCATGATGGCGTCAGTCTTCACCGGATCACGCGGCGATCTGCTGGGCTGCTGCTGGCTGGTGCTGGGCTGGCTGGCTGGGCTGCTGTTCGCTTAGGCTAGACGGCCCCTGCAAAGCACGTGGGGCTGCCGGGAATTCAACTGCCTCATGACGCCGGAGTATAGCTGAGTAAGTGGGGCACTAATGACCGGGGCTGTGTACATGGCATAGAAATGAATATAAATAGTTAGTGTCTCTATACTATTTGCTATGATTGCAGCAATTAAACTACGCATGTTAAGCGTGGGGGCGAACGGGGAAGGCAGCAAGCGATGTATATATGGCTAAGCTAGTGCACGCTCTAGATGCTATAATCAGCCCCTCGTCTTATTTTCGCAAACACAAACCTCGCTGGCTTACTGACGCTTGTATTTTTGGGGGCTTTTGTTATTCTTACACAGCCACATCAACAGTACATCACACACACGACGACACAACAGCACACCACACACAACACACACACACACACGACAAGCTGGGCCACACCACAGCACACAAACACACACACACATTGCCCACCAGCACCACAACACACGACAACAAAACACACACACACACACCACACAAACACACACACACACACACAACAGCCACACACACCACACTCGCGACGCACGCGACCGCACGCATGGCACGAGCATGCACACACAGCACACAGCACACACACACACACACACCACACAACAGCACACACACACACACAGACTCTCTAGCAACACCGTGGCGCTCGCAGCCGAAATAGCATACGGCAGTTTCGAAGGAAATGTGCCGAGCCTGTTCATGCGAGCAAAAATCTAAAGTCAATAGAGCGCGTGGCTGCGAAAAGCAACGCTTCTCCAACCTCTACTGCCGGATATAGTTACAGATTCACCAGCGCTTCCCGCGATATTCGCGCTTCGCGAGACCTTACACTTCTTTCTCTCTCTCTCTCATCTCTCTCTTCTGCTGCTCGTCTCTCTCTCCTCTCTCTCTCTCTTGCTCTCGTGCTCGGGGAAGCTTCTTCTCTGCTCTCTCTCTCTGCTCTCTCTTTTTCTCCTCTCTTCTCTCCTTCTCTCTCTTTCCTGCATCTCTCTGCTGCTCATCTTCTGTCTTGCCTCTCTTCTCTATGTCTATATCTTCTCTCATCGCTTCTTTCGCTTCGGTTTTCTCCATCTCGGCTCTTTTCCGGGCTCGTTTTCTCTCTTCTCCATCGCTCTCTCTAAAAATCGCTCTCTCTACAAATCGCTCTCTCTCTTATCGCTCTCCCCCTTCACTCGTCTCTCGTCGAATCCTCGCTC